CGACTGAAAGGAAGTGGTGGTGGTTGGCAATATCTTCTGAAAGATTTAAGAGAATAAGGCATCGTTATGCAGAACCTAGGCATAGATTTCTGCCCTGCGACAGATCGTTTGCTTTGGTCGGAAAAGAAAAGAGAGTTTACCTGCCAGCGAAATGGAGTCCCAAGATTGAAAACACCAGTAAGAAGTTTATTGTTAAAACTGTTACACAAGATATGATTCCAAAATATAAAGAAGTTCTTGTGCCATTTTATAAGAAAATAAATATTAAGAATAGTTCTGGTATAAAATTCACTCTCGAAATATAAAGTTATAGAATTTAGTGATGAACATAAGAAAACTGTTACATGTTCAGAGTCAGCGTATGGTTCAGCAAGTGAAGATTTTGATCCAAAGAAATGTTGTGTAGCGATTTTTGAAGACATATAAAATAGGATTTATAATGCTTCATTGCCTTTAAAAAAGAATAAGCTATTAAATGACATGGAATTGGCCAGACAGTATGTTGACGATGGTGAAATGTGATACTACCAATAACTTGTACCTGCAGAGACACAAGAATACCAGACATCCAGAACAGAAGATAAAGATCAATAACCTAAGAAGAATATTTCTTTTTTTTATTTTTATGTTTCATTTGTTAGTTTGCTTTTTTTATAATATAATAAGGATATTTATTTAGTTTCTTTACTTTTTGTATCCAAATAACATATAAACTATTTTTTTGTGTGTGTATATTTTTGGCAAAAAACAGACAGCTAAAATTTTGTTTGTTTATTAATTAAAACATGGTATTAATATTAACAAGAACTACATAAAAACTATTTTTACCGCAGAAAAAACAATAATTACATAAAAACAAAATTTGAATTTGTTAGGTTTTCGATTTCACACAAATTTGTAAAAATGGATCTGCCTGGTTATTGCAGTCACCCCTTCAATTATGCTTGCATACTCTAATAAAGAACAAACCAAAGCATTATAAAGAATTATTACCAATGACATATCAATAGAAATTCATTTAATCTTTTTAGTCCTATAAGACACGTGTTCAGAGTTGGGAAAAGAGGGTTGTTGTTGTACATTTTGTGTCCTTATTAAAACGAAATGAAATCTACCGTAAACGTTCACTTAAAGGATCCAATGTCTTTACCAACGAAGAATTGACACCCGGGTTACATAAATTATTCTTAACTGCCAAGAATAAATATGGGCACAAGGTTGTCTGGATAAGGAACTCCAGAATATATTGCAAAAGTGGCAACGCTGTCCAAGTTATTCATAAAGAAATGGACTTGCCTTGAAATTGAGGTTCAGAGAAATAATTATCAGTGTTTTATTTGCAATTTCGTTTCTCAGAACAATATAAAAAAAAAATAATATTGGTTTTATTTTTGAAATAAATATCGTATATTTAATTAGCAATCAATACTTATCTCAACTTATAAATTTGTTTTTCCTTGTTTTCTTGTTTCAATTAATTTGCATTTTATTTGGGATTCTGCTAATTTTGAAAAACTGAATGGTGATAATAATTATTATTCTAGGATTATTAGATTTAATTTTTGTTAAAAGGTTAAATCGTAAACAATGATTAACCTTAGCTAAGATTTATTTTATTTATTTGTGGTTCTTGATGTTATCCGAGGATATCACTAAATTGATAATACTTATTTGATTTGGGAATTTACCAATACACTTTGAAATTGTATTCTGAATGCCGATAATTAAGGCTAGAACTATTATGTTTCTTTTTTGTTTTAGTAATTGTTTATGATTTATGACTAAGATCTATTTTTTTATCTGTTTTAAAGGAATTTTTTTATAGTAAACTGGTAAATTTAACTGTAATAATGATACTTAGTTAATTTAAGGTACCACTATTGTGTTTTATCTTTGGCAATGAATATGAGCTTACAACGTGAATATTGTTTATGCTACACTCTCTACATATCTATTTTCAGAACTGTAGGGGACTCAAGAGTAAGTGTATTGATTTTTTTAGATCTTGTCTTAATGTAAACTATGATATTGTTAGGCAGCACCCTGTAGCGTGCTGCGGTCGTCATAAGTAAAAGAAGACAGAATATTCCAGAAATGTCATTACACGTCAAGAACATTGTAGATGACATTTCGAGAAGGTTCGAGAAGGTCAACAAGCTATATAAGTCGACGACCTGACGTCAGAGTTTTAGTTTTATGAGAGACGTTATACTCAGTTGTAAAGTTATTGTCAAAGTTGAATTATAGTTATTGTAAAGTTCAGTTGACATAAATTGTGATACCAAAAACCAGCGTAACAATATTATAATTGCCAACGAAACATGGTTACAGGAGTCAGTGCATGATGGTGAAATCGTAGACAATAATTTATATAATTTAGTAAGGGCAGATAGGAATTTGGTAATAACAACTAAGAGAACAGGTGGTGGAGTATTTATCGCAGTTAAGAAAAATGTTAAACTCTTAAACATAGTAAAGCATAGTTCTATTTTTGAGGCAGTCATTGTAGAAGTTCAGATTAATTTTGTGAAATACAAATTATGTGCAATATACAGTCCGTCAGGTAGTGCATTTAAAACGTATGAAACTGCTTTAGAATTTTTACAGAATAATTTAGTGAATTTTGACATGAAAAAAGTATATATTATGGGGGATTTTAACATCAATAGTATTTCAGGTTCAATTAATATTTTAAATCATTTTCAAGATTTTGTAGATTTTAATGGATTAAAGTTATTCAATGACAAAAAAATTTCAAGGAAGAACGCTAGATTTAGTTACAGGTTCAGAAAATAATTTTAATAATTGTCTAGTTCAAAGAGATACACTTCCCTTCGTCAATGAAGATTTGTACCATCCATCTTTAAACATCACAATTAGGATTCCCCAACATAAATATGTGTAAAAAGAAGAAATTTCAAATCTCAGTTACAATTTTAAAATAGCTGACTTTAATAGACTAAGTCTAAGAGTGAGAGATGCAGATTGGAGCAAAGTGCTCGATGAGCTATCCAGTGTAAATGTCGCTGTAGACAAATTTTACATTAAATGGAATGAGATTCTGGATGAGTGTGTACCTAAATTCAATTTAAAACGCGGTTCATATAATCATAAACCTTGGTTTTCAAAGGAAATTAAAGACCTACTGAAAGATAAAAAAAATATAGAAGGCTAAGAAATACATAATTTTTTTATGAAAATAAATATAACGAAATGAGGAAGAAAATAAAAAATTTGATTAGAGAAGAAGAAAGAAAATTTATCAATGATATTGAAGATGGGATATGTACAGATATAAATATATTTTGGAATTATGTGAACAATAAAAAGAGTAGTAATTTCACTAGTAACCATTACTTATTTAAAGGGAAAACAATTAAGTCTAATGAAACTGTAAATGCATTCGCAGAATTCTTTGCATCAGTATATTCAACTAATAAACCTTATGTTTCTGAAAATTGTACAAATAATGCTTTAAATTTAAAATTAATAACGGATTTAGAATACAAAGAAGCAATTAAAAAAGCAGTCTGGCATCCCACCAGCATGGTTTTGTCTCAAAAAAATGTGTCAGCACAAATTTGTTTAGTTTTGTAACTACAGAACAAAATTCAACTTGATGTAATATTCACAGACTTTAAAAAAGCATTTGATAAGGTAAATCATGATGTCCTGCTTTTAAAACTGAGTAAATTTGGTTTGACAAATAGTACTCTTACACTATTTAAGAGCTACCTAGAAAATAGATATTCAATTGTTAAGCATAATGGGAACACATCGGGAAAATTTATAGCATATAGTGGAGTGCCACAGGGCTCCAATTTGGGACCCCTCCTTTTTTTAATTTTTATCAATGATTTACCATCTATGCTGAAGTATACGGATGATCTTAAAATTTTTAAAAAAATACAGACTGTTAGGGATTGTGTGAGTTTACAAAAAGATTTAGACAACATAAATGAATGGTGTTACAAAAATAAATTAAATTTCAATACAAAAAAATGTAGCAGTATGACAATAAGTAGATTGAAAAATCCTGTTATTTTCGATTACCTTATAAATGGAGAATTAATAGAACAACATACAGAGGTAAAAGACTTAGGTATAACCTACGATTGTGTTCTTTTTCTAATTATGTAAAAAATATAGTTAAGGCTGCAAATAGAATGCTGGGGTTCATAATTAGGCAAACTAGAAGTTTTACTAACATAGAATCTATAAAAATTCTTTATTATGCTCTAGTTAGACAAAAACTTGAATTTGGAGCTGAGGTATGGATGGGGGAACATCCAACTAATCTATATGAGATTGAAAAAATACAAAATAAATTTCTTAGATATCTTTATTTAAAAAAACTCCATATATACCCAGACTATGATATTGTTAGAACTGCAAACTTAAGAAAATAATTTAATATACCTTCCCTTCACATCAGAAGGAATATCATAATGTTGACTTTTTTATATAAAATTATTAACTATAAAATTAACTCACCTGAGCTACTATACTTAATACGATTTAATGTACCTCCAAGGAGAATAAGACATCCATGTATGTTTAATATTCCTTTAGTTCTTACCACTGGCAGGTTACCTCTTGTGACCATGCTCCGATTGGCAAATAATATTAACACTTTGTATTGATATAGACTAGACACTACCATTTAATATGTTCCGAAAACTTGTATTTAATTATTACATTACTCTTGATTAATTATTACATTACTCTTAATTAATATTAATACTAAATAAGTTGTAATATTAGTTGTAATTACCTACTGTTTATTATTAATATTTATGTATTATGATACTTTTATCCATGTAATAAGACCTTTGGCCTGTTTGGATACAAATAAATAAATAAATAAAAAAGACCATGCAAATAAAATAAAAATTTAAACATGACTGTCATGGGATTTGAAGTAATTAGCTTCCAAGGGAGCTGAAAACCTGACAGTAAACTAGTATTATTGAGCTAATAATAATTGTTTTGATTTATACCTTTTCTTTTTAACTGGAGGCATATCATCCACCTCTGAATTTGTTTCTCCATCAATAAAATCTGATTCATCCAATTTAGTTTGCAGTTGAAAATCAGTTTTTTCAATTTTGACTGAAGGTTCATTTTTTATTTCTTCTGATATTTCATATATTTCAGGTTCTGACATATTATCGTCCACATTATCAGCTAGTTCAGGTTCTAAATCATTAAATTCTGTCTCAATTTTAGGAAATATGTTTGGAATTGTTTTTGTAACAGTCTCTTGCTCATACATTTTAATTTCTTGTTTCGTAATAATAGTATCATATTCTTTAGAAGGTACATTTGGATGATGTTTTTGAATGTGATCTTGTATTTGTTTTTTTCTTCTATATTTTTTACCACAAAGATTACATTCAAAAGGTTTATCACCTAAAAATAGTATATATTTTAAGCAAACTACAAATTAGTAAAATATTAAAAGTAAATGTTTCAGTCTAATCTTCTGTTACCTGTATGAATTAAAAAATGCCTCCATAAAAGACCTTTTTGACTAAACTTCTTATCACAATTTGTACATTCAAATAATTTAATTCCTAAATGAATTGCATTGTGTCTTTTCAATTTTTCAACACTAGAAAAACTTTTACCACATGTTTCACAATAGTTCTTTTTTTTTACATGAGGCTCCCTTAAATTTATGTTACAATTTTGGTTACTAGGACTTTTAGGTAAAACCTCTTCTCCATTTTCTTCTGGCAAGACATTGTTAAAATCTTCCGAAACAACTTCAATTTCGTATGAAATATCTTCATCTTTGATGTTAGTATCATCAACTAACAGATTTTTTAAATAATTATCAGTTACCCGACAAGTTTCAATAAACTTGGATATATCCTCTAACTTATTAGAGCATGTTGTACACAAACTTTGGGGTAACTTATCATCAACTGTAATCTAAAATACAAGGTATTGGTTAAATATTCTAATTGGGGTTATGATTTACTAACCTTCAATTCTGTTATTTTTTCATAAATAATATGCAACTGTGAAGCAAACAAAGATTTTAATTCATTAGAGCTCAAGCATGCTCTACAAAGAAGAGAAAAACTTTGAATATTCATGTCAAATTGATAACAAAACTTAAAAATAACTTCATAAAAGTTGTTATACAACGTTTTTAATATTTTTGATTATTTTGACGTTATATCTGTCATTGTCATTAGCCGAGAAGAACAGGCCCGTTTATAAACCGAACTTACGTGAGTCGGACTTGGGTAAGTCGTCCTTGAACTAAAATCGAAGTTCGGTTACAACGTCTCTAAAGTTCTAGGTGGTTCTGGTGTTTGACTGGAATTTAGAGATGGCTATTAGCAAATATGTAACTGTTATGTACATTTACGGATTTGTTACTACCCATCTCTAAATTCACGCGATATAACCGAACTTCGATTTTCGTTCAAGGACGACTTACCCAAGTCCGACTCAGCTGAGTTTTGTTTATAAATACGGGCCTAAGGCCCGTATTTATAAACAGAACTTACGAGTCGGACTTGGGTAAGTCGTCCTTGAACGAAAATCGAAGTTCGGTTACAACGTATCTAAAGCTCTAGGTGGTTCTGGTGTTAGACTCGAATTTAGAGATGGATATTAGCAAATCTGTAACTGTTACGTACATACGAATTTGTTGCTTACCCATCTCTAAATTCACGCCATATAACCGAACTTCGATTTTCGTCAGCTGAGTTTTGTTTATAAATACGGGCCTTACTCATTAGTTTCTCAAATCTGTGAAGTGCGTGTCGATTTGTGACGTCACTGCAGAACCTCGTACATTAATTTAAATTAGCTATATTGTTTTGTAAGATATATCAAGGGGCACGAGTAAGTGTTCTGTGAGGGGCACTCTGTGATGGCAGAGTAAGTGTTCTGTGGTGATGGCATCATACAAGACCTGCAGGGTTATTCTACTAAATTTATAGCCCGGCTACAAGTTGGATTTTGGCTTGAACTTTATATATTCCTACTTCAAAATCCAACTTGTAGCCGGGCTATAAACTTGTAGCCGGGCTATAAATTTAGTAGAATAACCCTCCGAGCAATTACTACTAGAGGGAGTCTTCCCCCCTTCCCCGCGCTAAATTTTGTTAGCAACATCTACTCCCCCCGAGGGGGAAAATACCTCTTCTGTAATTGGCTTATTTAATCAGCGTTGCCAAGTTTGACAGCGCCAGAAGTGTTCTGTGAGCGCCAATTCTGACACTTTCTGACACATGTCAATTTCTTATTTGTATTTTACGGAAAATATTATTATTTATAACGTTGTAAGGGTTGTAAATGTATATTTAAGATTTATTATCTCTAATAATATGGTAAAAACATGCGTTATGTGTAAAAGGCCTGTTGAAAATGCTTCTTCAAGATAATATCATAAGTAAGTACAGACACAACCTAATTATCAGAGGCGGTGCATTAGGCAATCGCCTTTAATTTGCAATTAAACTTTCTTATTTGCTTATCGAAAAATTAAAATTAAGAGCAAGTAAACTCCAGCTAAGTTCGTCTTCATCCGTCTGTCTCATAATGATTATAGTAAAGGTTAATTACTTATTATTTTAATATCACATCTTTGTAAAGTTTATTATTATTTTTTTAGGTTTCCTTTTCTTGATATGAGAAAGAAATACATGGTTCCAAAATATAGGAATTCAACAAGTGACCACCTGAATAACTTTTTATGCTAATGAACATTTTTATTATAGACCTCAGGGGAGGAAAATATTAACGAAAAATGCAATTTCGACGAAAGAAGTATAATAATCAATCCTGTCACTACTTCTACACTATATTCATCTGCTACTAAAATACTAAAACAGCAAGTAAGTTTATTTCAAAAAGAATGTTTAAGGAAAAAGGCATAGCCATTTTTTTGTTGACACTTTTTTTTAAATAATCTAAAAGACTAATTTTTTGTATTGTTTAAATTTTCATTTTTTGTACTTAATTTGTTTTAGGTTTAAACAAAATGAACTTCTAAGATATGCATGGAATATCCCAAAAGAGCTAAGGAAGGTTTTAAAATTCTTAAGAAAACTATTCAGAGCCAAAAACATAAAATAGTCTTCCTGTCCAAAATATAAATAGGTATAAATATTTAGATATTATGAGTGATTGTGATTATGAGTACATTTTTGTTGGTGAAATAGGATATATTAAGATGTCTTATTGTTTTCTCTGATTATCTTAAAAGTTAGAATAATATACAAAGACTGTTATAACAAAAAAGAGATATACCTTTACTTAAACACAAAATTAGTCAGTTCAATTGTACAATAATTTAAAGCATAAATCCAGAAAACTTTAAAAATGTGTTTTTACTATAACAAGGACATAATTATTAAAAAAACTTGGCACATTAACTTTGACGATAGGTTTTTACAATATATATTATACAAATCACAATGAACTACACAAAGCGACAGTATTAATAATTTAGCAATAAAAAAGTTAAGTGCAATGATGACATTAAAAGTTGAGTTTCTCGAAATACTTTTTTTAAATTGTCTCAGTACCTACCTAGTATTTTTCTAGCCCAATGATATTATATGAATGTGCATTGTGTGATATCTTATATTTTAGGAATAAAATGATATATTTTTTGCAGGTTTCTGTTAACAACGATTCCAAGAACTTTTGAATATATTATTAAAACGGCCTTTGCAAATATAATTCTCAATTAAGAGCTTTTGATCTAACATTAAATTTTTGTTCTCCATTAGGTTACAGCTTCCTAAGAAGAAAGTTTAACAAGACTCCAGACTCAAAATATCAAAATTTTACCAATCAATTGATGGTTCTACTAGTTTCCATAGGAAAATTCTCCTCGAAACTACTAAAAGAAAAGTGGCAGAGGCAACCGATGAAGGCAAAAAAGTCTTTTGCAAAACTATAAATTTGTTTAAGAATCTAATTATTGTTTGAAGTTTTACCATTAATAATTTTTGATAACGATTTAAGATTATGAAGTTTTATTATGTATTTTACTCTTTGTTTAAATTTTTATTAGGACCAAAATAAATTATAATTTTCATTTCAACTACAAAAACCCTCATAATATTAAAAGAGGAAAAAACGTTAGATTAGTTATGTTCAGGAATAAACTCTTTAAACATATATCTACTTAAAATGTGTTACTTTTAGAAGGTATGTTATTAACTTTCCATTTGTACTTGTATTAATTTATTTCATTTCATTATCTGTTGTATTTTCAAATTGATTTTGATATTAATCTTATCTATTTATATATTTCTTATATTCCCATATATGTTTTTGTTCATTGAAACAAACGTTTATTAGCTTATTAAATATAATGAATTCATATTGTTTTATTATATGCTTGCATGAATGATTACTTTTATTTCCTTTTAAAAATGAACTTCGAAGATAAAGCCGAAACGGTGCCGGTGAGAGAGAATAAAAAATTAGACGAAAGTGACGATATTTACTGGAGCTTTCATCTACACCTGAGCCAGCAAGATTCGTCTTCCCTTCATCCTTACATTCTCCAGATTTACAGAGAAAACGCCGTCCTCTTTAACATATCTAGACCTTTTTTGACGGGGACTATACCACTACATTATCAGCTTTATTTGTTATCCCGAGCAATTTAAATGCATTCGTAATTGCTCATTCTCATCTCTTATAGATTCAGTACTCAGTTTTCTTATTTTTAGTTACGTTTGCACTGCTCTTTTATTTTCACAGCTTTAATTCTATAATGCTGTAACGCTACAATATGGATCCATTTTTGTGGTTTATACTATTTAATGTTATTCGTAAGTGACCAACCTATTATAATAATTAAAGATTATTGTATACAGGCCTGAAGATGTTTCTGTAAGGCCGAAACTAGTCGCTACTGTATTTATTTATAATTAAATTGATGTTAAGGTTTTATTCTTCAATTGAAAAAATTAGACCGTTACAGTGATTTTGTTTCATTTCCTGCATTAGACACATATAAGACGGTATTCTTTTTAAATATAGTAAAATTAGCAAATTTTTTAGTTTTTTTTTACAATTAAAATGTTTGGACAATGTGTGTTTTTATAGATAAATGATACGCCACTGAACAAGAAGGATGTTTACCTTCCCCCTTGTGCCCGCTTCCTCACTTCCTCTACAGATGTTGCTAACACAACAATCGTCTACAAACTCGTTTTCACGCTCCCTCTATTAGTAATTGCTCGGAGGAATAACCCTGCTGGTGTTCTTTGTAGCTTTTCTATTAGGCTATTTTCGAGTTTGTAGCTTGACTCGGGTCTGCAAAAACAGCGTATCCGGTAGGTTAGCGGATATATGTGTAGCGGCACTAGCTCGGGCCCGGCTCAGTTTTTGTAACTTTTTAGTAACTATAGGTAGTTTTTAAAACATTCTTTTTTAGATATTTTTTCTTTATTAGGAATAATCCATTTAATACATGTAGCGCCATCTATGTCGTAACTAGCGCAACTCGATAGTGTGACTATTTGTTGATAGATGGCGCCAATGTTACAATCACGAATTGTGGCCATCTTTCATCCAGTATAACAGGAAGTCGTTGAAAGACGGAAATATTTTCAGTCGATAGACCAATGCTGACAACTACAAATATTCAGATTTTTATTCTGATTAGTTTTGCCATATTGTTTAATGTGGTATCAACAAAAATCACCTTGTTATGTATCTAAAATTTGTTTAAAACAGTTTTCCAAATCATCCTTGTTAGACATACAAATCAAAACACAAATACGCAAATATTCCCTTGTTACATAAAATAAGGCATTTCGTAACTGGTTGCATAAATAGCTATTTCGAAACCAGTTTCATAACGTTTGTGCAATTGGTTTCGTAAAGTATATAATTTTGGCACTTGCTGCGGTTGGAAAAAATGTCACTTATATGTCAAAATTATAAAATGCCTTATTTTATCTAACGAGTTCACATACTTTGATTACTATACGGGGCAAGAGAGAGATCCGACACGCCCAACATAGGACGCGGCCATTTTGAGCCCTATGACACTAAAGAATCAGATCGCTCACTCTGCGTCGGCACTTTTTATCTCAATGTTCCAGTTTATACA